CTTTCAAGTAGAGAAAATGTGGGGTAAAATACAGTGATCCCTCGGTTAACGAACGCCTCGGTTAACGAAATTTCGGTTAACGAACTGCCTTCCATAAGAATCTTCAATTCGGTTAACGAACAAAAATTCGGTTAACGAATTTCTTACGAACCGACCTCAACATGTTTTCGCTTGCACTGGCCGGGCAACCAGCTTTAGTATCAGTCCGCCAATATATTAATCGGTTCTAGGGCTTAAATTCCTTACTATTTTAGTAAATATCAAGAAGTTTATACTATTCAATAATTTTAAAAGTTTAATATTCAATTTTTTAGTCATTTTAACAATTATTGAACATAATTGAAGGTAAAGTGACTAGTTTAATGCACGGCATCCAGCCTGTTAACACAGCAAACAGGCGTTAGTCTGTCTCTGTTTTCACTGGAGGTAACATCTTGCTTGAGACTCTCTTCAACTAAATGCTTTTTTTGTGTTTCCAAGCAAATTATTGGTCATTTTGAAATATATTTTACATATTGACAATATATAATGCAGTGCAGTGTTGATTTAAAGAAATAATCTTGAAATACACCAAGAGAACTAAAATTTTACGGGTGAAATGGTGCCATGGGGTGACTTCTCTTCCACCCCAATGCCTTCTCTTCTTCCTTCTCCTCCACCCCCATTCTAATTCCCATCATCATCATCATCATCATCATCCAGGAGCCTTCTACATACACACCTCAAAGTAAGTGAACTTTTCTACCATTTTTGTTGAATTTAGGAAATTTTCGGTGAGCTGGAACCAATTACCCAAAAACCCATTGAAACAATGGTTTTGGTTAACGAACAACCTGCTGGAACGGATTGAGTTCGTTAACCGAGGGACCACTAAAAATAAGATAAAGGTGTAGAAGAGGGTGACCACCAGAAGGAATTGTCTGAATTGGTTGAAACTTTTTCTACACCACACTAATATCATGATACTAAACACAAAAATGGAGGTATTATTGCATTTCCACACCACACATTCCTACCACTAATCTATTATCATATTCGAAGATGTCTAATTATAAGATAATTTTCATCTATTACATTACCGATGGAATGTATAATAACGGAGAAAGCGTATCCAAAATTTTCTTCCATTAATCTTGCGCCATTATCGCCTACCTCACCTCCCACACTGCGTGTCTCCTTCATAAATCATCACGTGCAAGAGTTCCCGTACACGTCACGCAGCCAATCAAAAGCGGTTTTGTTTTTGCAACCAATTAAAATGATTTGGGGTTTAATTCGCAGTATTTTTGGCCCAATCAAATTCGATTTTTGTTTTGGGTCTCTCATATTTCGAAATTCAAATTCATTTCCAACCATGGACGTCTGCGATGGGTGTCACTTAAATTATATGGAGCTGATTAAGAGTTTTTGGAAGAAAAAAAACGAAGAAACTATAGCATTTTTTCGATCGCATAGTGTTCTTCCAACCTCAGTAAAGTGAAAGACTGAATGTAAATATTGCAAAGACCAACATACGTGGCGTTGTGTAAGAATCTCAGAATCCAACAACGAACAAGAACCAGGCCAATAAGGTAAGAAACAGGTGATTCCATCATATGGTGAGAGTCAGTTAGGTTAGGTTAGGTTTGGTTTTTGTTTTCTAGTGTTTTTTGGTGTATTTTTTATTCGCTTAGACATTTTTTTTTCGGAAAATGTTCAGCGAAAAAAAAAAAACGCTAATTTCCGCCAGAAATGAAGGTCATATTCGGTCTAAACACAAACATATATACTAGAAAAATAAATTTTTGACTTTCTAACAGACTGTGGTGTGCAAGTGCAAATTTACCAAAATGGAAATGACAATGCATAGAACCTGACCTAACATACCCATAGGTTGGGTATGTTAGGTCAGGTTCTATTAGGTTCTAAACATTGTCGTTTCCATTTTTGTTTTTAGTATCATGATATTAGTGTAGAAAAAATATCAACCAATTCCTTCTGGTGGTCACCCTTTGCTACACCTTTACCCAAAATAACCCCAAACAAACCTTTGAAAACCTTATCTAACTTTCCCTAACTTGAAAAAATGCTAAGAAACACTTTCGAGTTTATGGATCCTTCCTCATCAGAACACCGAAAACAACACCAACACATACTGAACTAAAAACCCAAAACAACACCTACTAAATACCGAAAATATGAATAAGGTAAACTTAGGTAAATTATTGATGACTAACCCGCGGCCGAAATTCATAGAAAACAGTTTTAAAACACCACAATTTCAGTTTTTTTTTAAAGTGGACCACTGTTGTAGTTTGTGCAAATGTGTTAAAAATATTATTTATAAAATAAACGTAATCTAACCTTATTGGGTATGAAAAACAGATCTCACCAACCTAGTACCTAGCCAAACAAACCTACCTTACCTTACCTTACCTTACCTAACCTAACCTTACCTAACCTAACCTAACCTAACCTAACCTAACCTAACCTAACCTAACCTAACCTAACCTAACCTAACTTCCTTACCCCCCGGTATATTAAACAGAGAGAACATACTGTAATACGGTGTAATTTGAGTATTTTTTTTCTGGACATGAAGGCATCCTGCAGCATCGGTGTTTATGCAGTCCGGTTGGCGCAGTGATTTGTTATAGAGATGGTGAGAAACGTGATCACGGCGTCGAGGAAGTGATGAATGATTGTTTCCCTCAACAACTGACTTAGCACACAAACCCAATTCTATATCACAGTATTGCTCTGAACAATACTCTCTACTTAAGGAACGACGCCGTGGTCTTCGAAAAACTGAAGGGTCTTATTGTTTTATCCCTAAATTCGCAAATTACGTCCATATAAGACCGGCGACAACCTTACCACGTCAGGCTGAACATGAAACTACCGCAGCCCAGCCCGCTGGGTCAGATTCAAGGTAGATTGACCTATAGAATCCGCTAGAAATCCACTAAGCACAATATTACGCACGTATCCTAAACAATATAAAAATGTTAAGTACTCACCACTTAGTTCAGCGAATAAATTATGCCTTCCTCTTCTGTCTTTATAGACATGAGTATTAGAAGAAGAGCTTGGACCAGCTTCTGGTGCCTTCGATGTCAATGAACTGTATGTTACCATTGTACCAATTTGCTTTACCACTTGTTTTGGCAGTTCATACGAAAGGCAACATTTTCCAACTCTTCTGAGTCCACTTTTCACTGCAATAACCGCAGACTGAACTTGTATTCAACAGATTTCTGAGCTTTGATTTAACAATATTTAGCTGGGCTAAACAGTCTCTTGACTTCAATATTTTACTGTTGACTTGGTCTCGTGCCATTTAACAGTTAAGTTGTGCCACTGATTATCAATTCGGTATTTTTTTTTATGGTACCCAAAAAGTTCAGCTATCTTTACTATTAGTTCCTTCACAACTCTGAAACATTACATTGCTGAAAACAGAGACATTTTCCTCAAGATTTTGTAAGTTATCAGGAAGTCTGTTTTTCTTCAACTAATTACAGACTGTTAACACACGATATGCAGCATTGGCGAAGGTCACGCTCTGCTTTTTCTGATAGCTTTGAGTTGGTGCAAGTCTTCTCAAATTCGTATCCTAAATATTCCCTGGGGTCAATGTGAGTGGTTGGGTTGCTAATTACTCTGTATTCTATTTACTTTAAATATCCGGGTTTTTTTTCTAAATTCAGGACAGAATAGGTTTTGATTAATAATAATCATCATGTGCATGAAATTCGCTTGAACTTCCGCCAAATCCAGTGAAAATGCACCAGAAAATCCGCTATCCGCAAAAGGTCTAAGCCACCCACATTTTGAAAGTTCAATCCGCTAAGCGGACTTAGCGGATTTTCCGCCAAATTGGTAACACGGGGGAAGAGCGGACTCCTCTCTAGAGCACGGTCTCATTACCGCGGAGAAGACAAAGTAGTGCGCGCCTAGGTGCCTAATTATCCACCAAACAGTGCCGGATTTAGACCTGTGGAGGCCCATGGGCAGCCTCTTTGTGGAGGCCCCCCTCATTATAACTACCCAAGAGGGTGGGGTGGCGAGTGAAGCGAGCCTAAACAGACACGACACGGTCCAACCCCCTCCCCCTCCCACCGACTGTCAACAAACACATTCGTAATGGAAGTGATAATGAATTTTTTTTTAATCTCAATTTCGTTAATCCATGTAGTTTATTTTTAATCAATATATGTTTGTGGAATTCTAAATATATTATTAGCAACACAAACAATAGCATTCATTAAAAATATACGGTTCATAGGAAAACCAGGTATTCATGAATTTCAAGGAGTAGCTAGCCTAATTTCTATCACGCTTCTTGCTGAACATAGTTTTACGTGATGGAATAGATAAACATGAATTTTGCAGAATGAAAATAAAAATAATTCAAATGAATAAACAAATAAATAAAATATTGTAATATGTAGAGGCCCCCAGATTGTGGAGGCCCCTGGGCAACTGCCCACTTTGCCCACTCCTGAATCCGGCCCTGCCACCAAACAAAGCATATCCACAAGAAATGATTATCATATCACAACTCAGTGATGAAAATAAAGTAAGAAAATAAACAGTAAAGCAAATAACTCGTCTGCAGGTCAGTCACCAATATTAACCCCCAAAAAGTCTAAGATGTGTGGAAACCACCGATTCCAAAACTTAATATCCTAAAATTCGCTCCATGACCCAAACGATAACTTTACCCAAATTTGATCACAACACATCAAAAACGACTGGAAAAACATAGTTTCGACTTCGATTTGGTAGTGGCAACAAATGAAAATTTACCAAATAACCTCTTCCCGTGGCACGACACAATTTAGTATCCTCACTACGACTGACATTAAAACATGAGATGAATCATGACACGACACTTACCTGTGAACTGACACATAACATGACACACCTGTAAACAGACAAAAGATACTACCCGTGAATTAACACATACCATGACACTCACCCATCACCCATGAACTAACACATGACATGACACTCACCCGCCGGACGCTGCGCAGCTTGTCAGCGAGGGTGTAGACGGACGTGTCAGGTCGTTCAATGCGAACCTCTGGGTTATACTTCTGAGCGCTTACACCCACACCCGCTGTAGTCTTAGTGTACCTGAAATAAACAGTAAAGTTACGGATACATGAAGTCATGTTTAGATTACAAAAATTCACGTTAAAAATACATTGGTGTACAGTATATCAAATTCAAACTAATTAATAATGTTACGTATAATAAATCAAGCTACAAATACACCGAGCCATTGATAATTATCAATGTATTATAATACATCATTACAAGCCCCTTTCGCTGCTTACCAACTTCCACCGCTGGTTACCAGCGGTCAGGTAGTATATACAGAGGCAACATATATAACACAAGTGTCGTCGAATTACCACTAGCTGTCCTGCCAGTCTCTGATAATTTCCCGACAAAGCAACAGGCAGGTAGATTTCCACCAGGTCACAGCAACACACTAAATCTTCTCAAACCTGTTCACTGGGTAGGTCTTCACAGCTGGATTTCTCACTTCGAATATATACTGTAGTCAGCACGCTACCAGTATACAATTCCTTAGTCTTTTCACTTTATATCGCTCACAACAATTCCACAATACTTGCACACATATAATTTATCTTTAGCTGTCACTAGGCCTGTACTTCACACTCTGAGCAGAAATGGGCGACTACTCCCACCAGACAACTCGGTCATACATGCACCTAGAGCATCCAGGCATTGCAGGTCAGAACAAGATATACAGTACTTGGTCAGTTTTTGTCTGAAAATCCAATTAAACTTTTCCACTATTCCGTCTGACTGTGGCCAAAGTGGAGTGGTTTTAGTCTTCCTTATGCCCAATAGTTTACAGCACTCGTTGAACACAGCTGACTCAAAGTTTCTGCCCTGGTCCGAGTACAATTCGTAGGGTACACGAAACCAGCAAAAGAACTGGTCAACTAGCACCCTGGCAACAGCCGTGGCTTCCTGATATGGGATGGCATATGCTTTTGGCCATTTAGTGAAGTAATCTATGGCCATACAGATGTACCTATTCCCATCTGTACCGAATGGTAGAGGTCCGCAATATCCATGACTACCCTCTCCATTTGTGTGCCTGCATAGTACAACTGTAGTGGGGCACATGTGTGCAGCTTTGGTCCATTCTTGGCGCAGCAGACATCGCATGAACGGCACCATTCTTCCACATCCTTACGCATGCCAACCCAGTAAGACCTTTGCTGCAGCCGACTCAGGATCTTCACTCCCAGATGTTCATTGGATAGATTGTTGAGCATCTTTCCCAGGATCTCTGACCTCATCTTCCAGGGAAGTACTGTCTGCCACTACCTGTTGAGGCCATCTGTAGTCACCTACTGGAGCTGCAACAGACCATCCTTCAGCCGAAGAGCATCCCACTGAGCCCAATAGTTTTTAATCATAGGATTGGCTCCAGATTGTCTCCCAGGCTGGCCGCACTGAGATCTGGCTCATCCACTTGACCACTGGTCGCAGGTCTTGGCCATCCAGCTGCAACTTCTCAAGGCCTTCCCCAGCAATGGCTGGATCCCCCTTCACTGTAGTGCGACTACATTTCTTGGGAAGTACCTCTTTCTGGCAACACTGCTGACACTCAGGTTCCACCACTCCCAAACGGTTATGCAAGGGACCGTTCACCTTGCATGGCAACAGCACCTCTGTTATTGGGGGAATAACTGCTCTCTGCCTAGCTGTAACTTGCATGCTTCACAGTCTTCAGCGGTACCCACTTTCCTTCATTTTTTAACTGCATCGAGCCAAGGTCCAGTTGGCACTTGCATGGTAGGAGGTAGTCCAGGCCGAGGATGCAAGGGTCTGCTGTATCCGGCACATAAACCTGCAAGGTTTCTTTTTGCCCTCACAGCTTGATGTTGATATCCACTGGTCCCTTTAGTACTGGGCATTGTCCAGTTATTCCACACAGCTGCTGCGATGTCTCGGGTAGTTGTTGATGACTAACCCCGTCTGGCCTTACAAAAGTCTGCTAAAGGCTGTGTCGAGCATCAATGGACACCTTATGCCATCGATCTCACCTTCAATCTGGACACTTCTAACAGTGACTCGGTTGCATTTTGTCAATAGTCGGGCTCTGGTGAGACAGGCTGGTCATTATCCCATAGCACCAGCCATCTCTAGTTCCCCATTTTAGTGAGCTACTTTTCTATCCCCCTTTTGGAATCCTGTGGGCAATTAATCTTGAAGTTTCCATCTTCTCCCCACGTCCAACATCCTCTCTTCTCCATTTTCTTCTCTGTATTGCCCCCCTTCTCGCTCCCGCTTGTAACAGTCTTTCTGTTTGTGCCCGTCTTCTCGCAATACCAGCAGGTTCCCTTAATCCTGTTTCTTCTACTTGACCCTTTCGTGCTTTAAACCCAGAGCTAGACTCCGTCCTGAAGCTTGGTACACTTGTCCTCACGAAAGATTCAAACTCCAGGGCTTTAGCCAAAGATTCCTGTTGAGTTATAGGTTGGGACTGCTTCACCTGAATCTTTAGGTGCGTGCTGTCGAATGCGTCCACAAACTGGTCCCTCAACAACATGGCTAACAGATCAGGTGATGCTCCAGGGTACGCCTATGAGGCATACTTTCCAGATCTTGAGCAAGCTGTTGCAGTGTTTCACCTCGATTACATGCAAGGTTACAGAATCTGGCCCTGTCAACCTTATTTTGGTGCTTGGTTCCATACCTTCGTTCCAGTACCTTTACCAGTGACATGTAACTGCTTCGCTCTTCTCCTGTCAACTGGCTGAGAACCTCCGCAGCCGCGCCCCTACGATTCGTTGCTAATTGCACTGCACACTGCTTGTCGTTCCACCCGTTTTGTTCAGCCAGTAACTCAAACTGTGCTTGGTATGCTTCCCATGAGACCTTGCCATCGAATTCCTGTGGTTTCTTCTTCGCTGGTACTCTTGGATAGTTCACCACCTCACCTGACGTAGCTTGGGGTCTGAACTCAGATTCTTTGTAATTCAACTCAACACTTCCTTTTTCCACACACTCGTCGTATTTTCCATCCTTTTCAACACTATTCACTCCCCGCGGAGCGTGCACAAACGATGTTTCACGCACACCATCACAATTATAAGAGTCACTAGATTTTGGTTGATACCCTGCTGTTAGACAATTCTCCAGAACTTCCACCCTACTACTGACTTTCTTTGGCTCTTCACGTACCTCTGTGATCTTACCACTCACTTTTTGTTTGTGCTGCACTTCACTTCCTCTTTTGTCATTCCTAGTTCAACTTGCATCTCATGCAACGCATCATCACATCTATTACACATCTTTTGCAGAGCCTCATCACATTCATGAATTTTCTTGTCGATCTCTTCCTACAGCTGCTGTAATTGTTGCTAATGTTTTCTGTCTGTTCCTGCAGTTGTTCCTGAATTTTCACTTGAGCTGCACATTTTCACGTTTCTGCTCTTTTCGTTGTTCTTGAAGTAGCTGTTTCTGTTCTCCTCATTATTCTTGTAGCAGTTATGTTCTTCTCATTGTTTCTGCAGTAGTTGTTTCTGTTCTTCTTGTTGTGCACGTAAGAATTACATCAGATCAGTCATGGAAATCTCCCTTTGCCTGGCCTGGCTTCTGGTTTGGACACCGTCACCTTCCATCTTGACTAATATCTCACTGGTAAGCTATTCCACTCCTGACACCAGTGTCATGAAACCTTTTCGCCACTTACCAGCTTCCACCGCTGGTTACCAGTGGCCAGATCGTATATACAGAAGCAGTAGATATCTCACAAGTGTTGTCGAATTACCACCAACTGCCCCACTAGTCTCCAGTAATTTCCGACGATTGGTATCAGTGTACAGACACAACAACAGGCAGGTAGATTTCCACCAGGTCACAGAAACACACTTGTGAACAGTAAGTCTTCCTTAATAATCACAAATCTTCACAAAACCGTTCATTTGTATGTCCTCACAACTGGACTTCTCACTTTGAATAAATACAATCAGCACACTACCAGTGTACAATTCATAGTCTTTTCACTTCATATCGCTCACAACAATTTCACAATACTTGAACACCAATTATCTTTAGCTGTCACTACGATTATACTACACACGCTGAGTAGAAATGGGCGACTACTCCCACAGGGCACCTCGCTGGTCTTATATGCACCTACAGTAGAGCATCCTAGCGCCATCCAGGCATTGCAGGTCGGAACGAGATACGCCTGGGTAGTTTACAACGTTCTACTCTGATCTAGGCTTACAATACATAAGAAAATCATAAAAAAATGATGCAATACATTCTAGAAAATTCATACACAGGTAATGCATCAATATATACGAGAATATCTGCCCAAACTTGCCAAAATAACTGCTGCTTGGAAGAGATATATATATATATATATATATATATATATATATATATATATATATATATATATATATATATATTTTATAAGGTGAAGTTCGAAGTACATAAATCACCAAACAGTTTGGAACTTATAATCACACAATTCAACGATGCATACAGACAAGGGTAGAATATTTTGAGTCCTGAAGAGTAGCCCCAAGCAATTATTTCACCTGATGATTATGCCAACACTAACTGGGGGGGTTAGGTTAGATTAGGTTTGATTATGTTTCGATTGGATTAGGTTTTTAGGCGAGATGAAATTATGTTGGGTTTATGTTATGGCTAGTTACATTACATATGGTTAAGTTAGATTAGGTTAGATGAGGTTAGGGTGGTTAATTTTAGGATGAAATAAGCTGGGTTGGCTAATCTTCAAGTTACCCAATAAATGCACAGGTGAAAAACCAACAATGAGCACAGCAGACCCACGTGCGGCCTGAAACATTCATCCCCTCCCACTGTTATATATAATCTGGAGCTTAAAAAACGAGAGAAAAATATACGTGAAAACTAATTACAATTAAATGCGTGATGTGAGTTCCTTTGCAAGAATGAATCATTTTCCAAACGTGATAAATTTCCCAAATATGAATAATTTTCCAAATGAGAGTTTACTTATGGATGAACAACAAGGGAAATTCAGCTGTAACTTTTATAAAATAAAGAGACAATTTAACACTTCCAGCAGCGTTAGTGAGTGAGTG